TGGCCCCCTGGTCTGTTCCCTGCCCTCTGCCCCTTGTTTGGCTATAGTCCGGCCTCAGCAAGATATTTCCCTGTGCAGTTCAGATGAGCACACATTACTTCTACAGTGCCGTGGGGCCCCTCTCACAGGTGATACAGTGAACAGTTCCTTGCCCAGGCCCTAGGTGGAATTTCCAGTCCAGCCCAAGCTTTGGCACTTCTCCCACCTTCTGGACCTCTGGCCTCCTCCTCCTGTAGCTTTCCAGGTCTGTCTTACCCTCTCTAGCTGTAGCCTTAGCGAGCGTCTTTCCTCCTCTTCTCACTTCTCAGAGCCCAAGGCCCTAACTGGCTTTGCTGATAACATTCTTTAATACCATTGATACTCTCAGTGTCTTCATGTACTTTCCTCTGCTAAGGGTAGTGATCAGGAGATTGTGGACACGGTAAGAATGTTCCGAAGAAAAATTTAACAATCTTCCCTCTCCCGGTTGATGTTGAGAGCCCTCACTTTGTTGTAAATCATTGTGATCCTAAATCATTAAGTGTCCCTTTGTGGGTGGTGCTTTTGGATTACTGCTGAGAGTTCAGGCCCCCAGAGGCCAAGCTGGACTCGGGTGGTCTGTGTGGCCATGTTGGAGAGGAATTGGAGAGGCGGCCTGTGTTCCCACACTCTGCCTTTCTGATGAACTGGGAGCATCTGAATCTTTGAACATAATTTCAGTTTCAACAGTTAACTGAGGCTGCTTTATCGCATAAGCTGAGCGTCCTCTGGTTTGGAGGTGGTCTGTGCTCATTGGCCATCTGCGCAGTCTTGGAGCTCTGCTGCTAACTGGTATCATTTTCCCAGGTGTTTGTGTGGCTCTTCCTCTCCGTCCCGTAGGCTCTGTAGATGTCACAGCTAATCAGAAACTGGGCTGCTGCTTTGATGCTACCATACCTCACATTTTAAAAACCCTCTGAGTGTATGGTGGAAAATGTTGGGTATGGTACAGTGTTGAACAAGAGACGTATCTAATTTTAGGTGATAGGGAAAACCACAAACCTCTCAGAGAGTCAATTTGCATCTTTGTCCTGGCAAGAAAGACGGGCAGGTGTAACTTTCATATAGATATAAATTTCATGTTATTTCCGTTGTGAAAATGTTCTCTGGGAGGGGTGGTAGATAGTAGATGAGAGGAAACCAATTTTAAAGAGGAGCTGATAGCTTGAGATAAACCTTTAAAATAATGTTTTTACCAAAAAGTCAGTTGTCTGATGGCTTGATTCAGGAAGCCAGCAGCCAGTATCAAGAGGGCAGAAAGACTGCATCTCATGGGCCAACTTCATTTTAAGGGAAGGATCAGCTGCAGGTGGAGGAAGGGAAGGACTGTGAGGCCGATCCGGGCTCCTCATAGACTCCCTGAGGGACGGATCCTGCCTCCCTGGCATGGCAGAGGGATGGCCTCCTGCAGTCCACCCACTGCCACCCTAGAACCTCAGTTACCTACTTGTCGTATTTTAAATGTTTCCCAGCACCAGGAGGTCTCAGCTAATAGCCAGAAACAATGACAGTGAGCCTTAATGTGGTAAAGGTCGAACGTGCAAACTTTATCCTGCTAAGCAACAATTCTTTTCAATTTGAGCTTAGCTTTTTAAGCAAAAACTTTTTAAAAACATCTTCATGTGTATTTATACCTAAATAACTTAATAAATACATTTTCTAATATACGGTATAAATTTAGATTGTTTTCCCTTCGTGTTATGGAAATACTAAAGAAACTGGAAGAAAAAGTCTGGCATGGGGTGGCGCCTGTGGTTCAAGGAGTAGGGTGCTGGCCCCATATGCCGGAGGTGGCGGGTTCAAACCCAGCCCCGGCCAAAAACTGCAAAAAAAAAAAAAAAAGTCTGTCATGTTTTACATCCTACCCCAATTTTTCTATTACTGTGTTTGCTTCTGTATTTTTTCTTGAACAGTTATACTTCTGTCCCTGGATATTTAGCTTATTTATAAGTTTTCTGTGATCAGTAATGCTGTAAGGAACATATATATCTTCGAATAAGACCACCCCCTTCTCCTGAGCTGTATTATTGGAAAACTGTATTCTAATTACATAGTATTTCCAGACATAAAATTGCAAGGCCGAAAAACCAAACAAAAAAAAATGCCAGGTCATCTCTATGGCTCTTGATGAATCTTGCCAGATTACTTTCTTAAGAATTGTATCAGCTGACAATCACCAGCAGGGTGAGACTGTATTCATTTCTGTGATACACTGTGTCGGTCCCATTATGGTGGGGACTGCTCTGGTGTCCAGGAAGGAGCACAGGAAGCCATAGTGTCCCCTTGGGTACTGTAAATGAGCATTTTAATACTGAAAGCCCTGACCGTCTTATGAAGGATGACACATGGTATTTGATTTCACCTTATTTAAACTCGCTGACTGTTCTCTTAGCCGTCATTCTCTCTGGCAGTCTTTCATGTGAGTATTTAGCAGTTTGAAAGTTTTGACAAGCTAGCAGCAGAGAGGAAACTAGTGCTTTACGATTACAACTCTGCAAAGCTTTGAGCTGTCAGCTCTTTGAAAGCTCTTCATAACTTAATTTGGATATTCCTTTTAATAGGAATAAGAACTTCCAAATAAAAATGGAGTAATACACCCATTTGTCTGCAGCAAAACAGTGATTCCGTTCGTTTTTCTTCACTTCTGGTTACTTTGGTTGGAAACCACTGCTGTACCAGGCCTCAAAAATTAGGAAATGTGGAGTTGTGTGGTCCTGGGGTAGCTATGCGGTGGCACTGTGCAGTGGTGTCACTCAAGTACTGGCAGGAGCATCTTTTAAACAGCCAGTTGCCCCATCCCACACTTAGTCACGAGAATAATGTTCTTTCTGGAAGCGCAGTGTGTGTTTACGCCGTGGTTTTCTCTGTTGTCTTTCATTCTCCTGGATTTGCCCTCTTGCTACCTCCTTTTCCCTTTTATCAGTCTGTCACTGGTTTTTGTACCATGTGTATGAATTAAGGATAACCAGGCCCCCCTGCTCCCCAATACTTTCTTATGCTCGGTTTTGTCCACTTTGCTACCATCTTTCTTTAGGCATTAGTTTGTCGGAGTGAGTCCATCAGGAATCGTATGTTGTATTCTGTGGGAAATATCAGGATAGATTTTGAAGAAAGGGACAGGTTAAAGTCCTTCACTTGGTCTGCTTTGTTTGATTGGGTTTCCAGGTGGAGATGGCTGTCACCCGTTGTCCTGGAGCCTTTGCTGAGGGCAAGGCTTGTGAGGGGCTTTTTGCCAAAGCATCCTGTCATGCCTTTCATAGCAGCATTGCACAAAGTTTCCAGGGGGCCAGGTGAGGGAAGCCACTGTGGAGGTTCTATATGGAAACAGGTTACCCTCTCCATAGGTTTCACTGTGTCTTCATGGACAAACTCAGTGACAGCTTTTCTATTTCTTCCCATTAGACCCCAGAGCCAGCAGCAGAACCGCCCAGAGCCCCTGAGCCCAAGCAGGGGCTGTATGAGCTCTCAGCAAGCAACTTTCAGCTGCATGTTGCACAAGGTAAGGAGAGGGCGAGTCTTAGGGGCATTTGGGTAGATGCCTGCATCGGAGAGCTCCAGACTCTCTGCACCTGCTGTGTCAGAGAGCCTCCTGACTCTCTCTGCCTCCTGGGTCAGAGAGCCCCCTGACTCTCTGCACCTGCTGGGTCAGAGAGCCCCCTGACTGTATGCCTCCTGTGTCAGAGAGCCCCCTGACTCTCTGTGCCTGCTGGGTCAGAGAACCCCCTGACTGTGTGCCTGCTGTGTCAGAGAGCCCCCTGACTGTATGCCTGCTGTGTCAGAGAGCCCCCTGACTCTCTGTGCCTGCTGTGTCAGAGAACCCCCCGACTCTCTGTGCCTGCTGGGTCAGAGGACCCCTGACTCTGCGCCTTTCCTTCTTAGATCACCACATCAGTAAAGCTAATGAAAGGCCCCTCTTTTCAGGACCACTTAGGATCATTGTTTAATGTTCTTCTTCTTAAACATTATTTCACCTTTTGTCTCCATCCTTACAGAAAAGGCCAGGATAATGCTAAGCTAAAGCCTTTGGGCATGGGAATGTGTAGCTTACAAATGGTGAATGGTCACACTTCATTTGAGACAGGCTTGTGCCACCTGCCGGGTGTGTTACTTAGACCACCTTGTTGTAGGCCGTCTTCCCACAAGCCCAGCGGCACCTCCCTGAGTCAGTCCCTGCTGCAGGGCAGCGTCATGTAGATGCCACGTCACGCTGCAACAGAAGAGTCTGTCCTCAGAAAGCCACAGCAGCCTCCTGCCCTTACTGTCTTCCAGCCATTGTCCAAGATTCCTGGAGGTCGTGTCTCCACCTTACAGCACAGGCTGGTGGCGTGGTAACCTGCCTGAACACTTGTTGTTTCAGCCTCAGACATCAGTTGCTAGTTTTTAAAAGTTTTTCCAGCTTTTTCCTTAAATGCATCATTGCAGTGGTGATGAGACAACACCAGGAGCATTGGTGTGGCAGAGTCCTGCTTGGAGGCTGAGCCATACATGGTTCAAGGCCCGCCAGTTAGTTCATGCCTGGCCCCTGCCTGACTTTGGTTTAGAATCAGCCTCATGTTAAAGTAGAACAACCAAGATAAAAAATTTTCAATGATGCTGTGAGGGTTTGATCCCCCCTGACATATGCACAACTAAGGGGTGAAATTTAGTTTTTTAGACCTTCTATTTCAAGGTAAAATGTAACACAGATAAAATGAATTTAGGGCTTAGTGAACTATTCTAAAGCAGTCACCTTGTAACCATTGTCTGGTTCCAGGAATACAACCACCAGCCTCCCGTGCCCCATCCAGGTCATGGGATCTATATATCTTTTAGGGCCCATTTAACCCAAACATTCTCCTTGCTTTCTTGCCAAGGACATAAGTGGTTTGACCTGTAGAGCTTCCCACAATCTGTATTTTGCCACTTATATCCCTATGATGTGATTTAAATGTTCCTTTGATTTCTGTTTCCTGAGAATTGGTTGTTGGGTCTGGGGACATAATTAGTTTCGGTGTCATGTTTTCTAGGACAGAGGAAGACCTTATGGCCAGTGGTGGCAGCACAGACTGTCTGAATGTCTCTCTCTGGGTGTGAGCCACTATGACAGTCAGTGCCTGAGTCCATTCCTTTTTTTTTTTTTTTTTTGGCTGGGGTCCATTTGTCCTTAGGGTTGCTGGGTGCTGATTCTCTGATTCAAGCAGCCCTTCATTTTTTAGCAAGAGAGATTTGCCATTGTCTATCACTTGTTTATGCAGTGGTATAGCTCATAAATGGAAGGCAGAATAAATGCCTGACTCGTTCTCTTTATTGCCAGTTTTCCAAGTAATGAGTTGGTTCCTGAGTGTCCATCAAGGTTGAAAAATTCATATTTGTTTTGAGTATCATTATGAACTCGTAAATAGAAACGTCCTTGGTGAAGAGTGTCTTTGCACCAGTTAAAGGGTTCATACTGAACTGAGATTTGCTGAGCATAAAGACAAAGATCTGATTCTTCAATTAAATCTCTAGTTACGTATGACATAAATTATGCCTCCCCCCCACCCTTTTCCTTGGCTCTTCACTAAAGGCGACCACTTTATCAAGTTCTTCGCTCCATGGTGTGGTCACTGCAAAGCTCTGGCTCCGACCTGGGAGCAGCTGGCTCTGGGCCTTGAACATTCCGAAACTGTCAAGATTGGCAAGGTAAGTGAGAGCCCTTATTAAACTGGAAATGGACTGCTTTGGGTTGGATTAATTAGCAGCGTAGCCCATTATTCATTCTGTTTGCAGAGTTACACACTTGATTTATTAATTCCATTTAGTGTGCCACTTGATAATTCACTTCACCTTCACAGATGGCAGCCCGGTTTTGAGTTTTGCTGGCTTTTCCACAGCCTAGAGATAAATTATGGCCTTAGCTGCTTTGTTTATTTTGAAGAGATGGCCAATTCAGAGTTGGCAGCCCTGGAGCCCATTCTGCAAAGATACAGGGTAGAGCCTTGTAGAATGTTCACTGGACGTACTTGGAGGCCGTCCACGTTTGATCTCACCCTAGAGCTCTCTGTTCAAAGACCCTCACCTCTGCGCTCACGCAGGCATTCCTGCTTCATGGGGAATTCCCATGTGCATCGCGGCCTGGGAGCTTTCCACTGCTCTCCACTTTACAGAGAGAAGCCGGACAACTTCCATGTAACGGGATTTTTCTGTAATTCCCCAGAGAAGGCTCCAGAGCAGCTCCTGAGCCATCAAGCACTTCTACTCTCACCTGTCCTGCTACAGCCCAGATAGCCCCTGTGGCTTTCCTTTTCTGTCTTGCCGCAGAGGGCTGATTGATACACAGAAGTGATCTGCAGTCTGGGAACAGTGGTTGAGAGGATCATCTACCAGAGGGCTGATTGATATACAGAAGTTATCTGCAGTCTGGGAACAGTGGTTGACAGGATCATCTACCAGGGCAGTGGGGTGGTCAAAAGTGTAAACCTGGGGTTCAGATAGACCTGGTTGGCTGACGGTGGGCAAAACTTCTCTATGCCTCAGTCTCCTGCTTTGCCAAACCAAGCTGAGTTCTACCATGTGGCAGTTGTGTAGATGAAAGTACCCAGCTTGATAGGACACTCTGTGTGGGGCAAATGGATTCCCACTGTCAGCTGTTAGAACACTTTCACAAATGTGTTCTCACTGTATGTGTTGTGACTGTGTTTATGTTGATAGAACATTCCATGGAAGTAATTATAAAATAATCCTATCTTCTGTCTTACCCTGTACCTGCTATCCTTACTTAGTGAACTTTTGGGGAGGTCATTTATTTTTAGCTTGTATCCTGAGAGGACCCTAGCAAACTCGGGTGTGAGCAGACGGTAGCCTAGGTGGCCTCCCTGAGGTCCTTCACCCCTGGACACAAGCACCTGAGTTAGACAAAACCCTTGTAAGTGCTCATCCCCACTGTAGACCTTGGGCTGAGGTGCCCTGCACTTCAGTCTAACACTTAGGCTGTCCTCTGTCTGCGGTCTAATGTGCTGAAATAATATTTTTACTCTCCTCTGCTGACACAGTGAAAAATCACAGCTTAGATCTTGGCCAGCTGATTTTAATGCTGGTAGAAAATCAAAAGGGAACAAGTGACTTAGAACTTAAGCTAGGTCTTGAACATGTTGGGCGGGCACAAATAACCTTTATAAAAGCCAAATTAAAAACTTGAGGAGCCGTGGTAGTTGATAAATTACGTTTACAGACTTAAGTACACATTATAATCTTGACATCTTTTCTGTTTTCTTCTTTATTATGTGCCAAATACTCCCGTTTAAAATTGACTCTTTGCCCCCTCTTGATTTTAAAACTCTGTGAGATTGAACGTAACCGTAAGTTTCTAAGCTGACAGCCAGTTTAAATCCCCTCCCCAAATTTCAGGCTAGGCCCCCTACCCTCGCTCCTAACTCGATCACGTTAAAATGTTGTTTCCTAAGAATTTGCATTTTTAACCAAGCTATGATAAATCTTGTCTCTAAAGTAGATCTCCTCACCGTGCTCCCTTTAGCTCTGCATTTTGGAGTAGCTTTTAAGAAAGGTCTCTTTAAATACTGCACCTTGCTTGCAGAAATGCTCTAGAGTCTGGATTATTTTTAAAAACGTCTCTTTTTTCAAGTATAGAGTGTTTAGTAATCCCTTTCACAAGAAGACTGATGGAGAGACTGACCGAGAAGTCCACCCTCCTTTATTTGTAGGTGGATTGTACACAGCACTATGAACTCTGCTCGGGAAACCAGGTCCGCGGCTACCCCACTCTTCTCTGGTTCCGAGATGGGAAGAAGGTGAGTCTTCTTTCTTAGTATCGAGATGGAATTTTTCATCTCGTAACCTTGGTGGGCTGGGCTGCTGAGTGGTTTAGTGGGTACGGTGAATTGCTGGTATCGATTATTTGGGCCCTAGTTTAGAGGAATGTGTGTAGTGGAACAGATAGGTTTCTCTTCATTGATCAGATATCTGTAGTGAAAAAACTATCACTTGTTACACTACTTTGAAGTGTTCTGGTGGCTCACTGTGCTCTGATCATGAACACCAGCCTGCTAGGCCTTTGAGTGGGGTTAACATCAGCTGGTAGTGAGGTTCTGCCTCTGGCCCTCCCTCTGCCCTGGCTGACGGTCAGCTGCTCAGAATTCCCCTGTCAGCATGACGGCCCACTGGCAGGCCTTCACTCAAGACTTTTATGACATGTAGCCCCAGAGAGGGGGGAGGGACCTGTAAAGTTCTCTCTAAAGCCAAGACTTTCGGCTGTGATCGCTATTTTCCTGTAGAAGTGTAAACACACAGGTGCTATCCAGCACACACACCCCCAGCTAAGACAGCTGGGCAAGCGGGGTTCTGGGAGGGCTAAAGTGATTGGGAGCACCTACATGTACTCACGTTTCTGTATGGCCTGTGTCTCGGACAGGTTGACCAGTATAAAGGAAAGCGGGATTTGGAGTCACTGAGAGAGTACGTGGATTCGCAGCTGCAGAGAACAGAGACGGGGGGCCCAGAGACGGTGGCTCCCTCAGAGGCCCCAGTGCCAGCTGCTGAGCCAGAGGCCGACAAGGTGGGTGCCTGTGGCAGTTGAGATGGCCAGAAACAGCCCACGGAGGGCCTTCACCACTGAGGACAGGGGGACAGCTTGGAGACAGCACAGAGTCATTCTGATAGTTGGCTGCCATTGCCTTTTCAAGACAAAATGTCTCTTCATCTATTTTTACATGCTCTGAGGGGTAAACAGAAAAGCTTCCCCTTTAAATACCTGAAATCGATGCCTATCCTGAAATAGTATTTGGTATCAAAGATCTCTAGAGAATTCTTCCTTTTCGGTTTAGTTATTTTGGAGGCGGACTGTACTTGGTGCTGTTGGCTGCTGCCCCTGGGTCCCTGTTTCTGTTCATTTCTATAACGTGTTCTAGTCATTTCACTTTAGCCTGTGTCAGAGGCCTCAGAAGATTGGGAGCAGAGAGGACAACAGCAGGGGGACAGAGGGACCCGTCACAGGAGACATTTGACTTGTTTAGACATCGGTGACTCACTGAGGGGTATCTTTATTTATTCAGATAGTGTAAGGTTTTAGGTTCATCATTCTGCATTTATCAAACCCTTGCTATGTAGCCAATACTGAACTAGGCCACCAGGCAACAAGAATAAATAAGACCTATTTCTTGCCTGTTAAACCAGCTGGGTCTGTGGGGCAGACAGTGAGAACCATGGTGACCCCGTGGTGTCACAGGGGCTATGACAAAAGTGTATGCAGGGTTGGTCAAAGTTGCTCTGGAGAGGTGGGAGCAGGTGGGCAAGAAGCATCCCCAAAGAGCTGACAGATAAATCGGTGTTTGCTGGACAGATAAAGTGGGCAGGGCTGCCAGCAGAGGGACCCAGGGGAGGTGGTGGGAAGATCAGGAGTGTGGTGCAGGGTCCCTGAGGGCTGGAGAGGTGGACCCTGGAGCATACAGGACATGGGCGGCCAGCCACGGGTTATGAACTTCACCCGTGTTCATAGGGAACACCTGGAGGGTTCCAAGAGGATGGCAGTGGTAGAGCAGTGGCATGTGTGAAGGGAGTGGAAACTGTCATGTTGGGCCATAACAAGACACCAGCCCCAGCTAAGGCTGTGACCGTGGGGTGGCGAGAAGGAAAAGGCATGTGTGAGGAGTCCAGGCTCTGCTGGGGGCAGTTCTGAGGATGGGACACAAGGGGAGGTCCTGAGGGGCGTCTTGGATTTCTGGCATGTCTGGTAGAGGGTGGTGCTGAGCACAGGGGCAGGACCAGAGCAGGAGGAAGGCGATGAGCTTGGTTTTCAGGGTGCTGATTTTCAGGTCTGGGGGGTACTTCGGTGGAGAGTCCAGTGGACCCTTACATATGTGAGTGGGGAGCGTGGCCAGAGGGACGAACTCTGTGAGAGGGTTTGTGTCATCTCCTTCAGAAGTCGGCACCATGGGGACAGCTCAAGGACAATTAGAATGAATTTACCTAGGAAATCAGTGCCTGGCTTTCCTGGCTAATAACCATATGCTTATGAACAGATTTCCAAAGCAGAATACTCACATTGCCCTTTCACTGCCCACAGCTGTGCCTCAGAGCATGCTGAGTTTTTACCTGGGATGCTGGGGACACAGAGGGGCGGATGTGCCCATGTTCCCTGCAACTTTGAATCCTCATCATTTAATCAGAGACTAGACCTTGCTGGGGCCGTCACTCCCCAAGGCCCAGCTGTTTAGAATTAGAGAAAACAGCGGCACCACCGCCCCCTCCTCCTTGCCCTGCTGCGCAGTCCTTAGTCGGACTCTGGTACGTGGGGACAGCCTGGGTGTTAGTTGAAGCTTTGGTTTCAGAAGTAAACAGATGATTTTGTAGTTGTTATGACCACATAGGTTAGAGGAGCCTGTGTGTCATGGCGGTTGTAAAGGTCATTCCCAAATTGAACATAATTATATACTATGGATGTTTTCGTCACAGAACTGCTTCTATTTATAATGCCGCTTTCCACCAGTAAGTGGGTCTTTCAGTGAGTGGAGCATTGTGTTTCTGGACATGAAGAAAGTTGGTAGTGTTCCACAGTGGCCCCGCTCGGCTGTGATTTGCCCCAGAGTCGCTGACGTGCTCGGTGCCGGACTTGAATGGAGCAGCCCTCATACCTCAACCACAGGATAAATCATCCCTGTTGCTGCCCTCAGAGAATGGCAGATCCATTTCTAGAGAAACACATAGACAGGATTTTGTGAAGAACCATCCAAGGCTGCCCCGTAGTCTCTTTCTCTTAAATTCTACACCCGGCGCTTCTCTCAATATTTTTCATACTGTCTTTGAACATAACAAATGGAAGGAACTCTGTTATGTGTAAAACACATATCATTGCCTGTACTTGTGTAACTAGGTTTCTTCTGTTACATAGAGAGGATCACTTGTCACAGATGTGTGTGGTAGAACAGTATGGCCTGAGCAGAGCAGAGCAACTTAGGACCAGATAGGCAGATGGGGTGGTGGGCGCCTTGGAAGGTCCAAGCTAGGGAGGCGCAGATGCAAACCTGGGCTCCCAGTGTGTCTGGCGTAAGCCACAGAGTCCTAGAGGATGGTGGCTGCACCTGAAACCGCAGGGTAGAGCAGCGGCCTGGAAGTTGCTTCTGGAGTTTTTAGTTGGCCTCATCTCCCAGGGGACACCTGCTGGGTGTCTCGGCCCCTTTTCTCAGCATCTCAGCCACAGTCAGGGACCTGTGCTGACCTCTCTGCCTTTCAGAGGCTGCTGCTAGACTGCTCTTGTGTGTAGCTTGTGAAATGCATGTCACGTAGGCATGGTGGTGGCACCTGTAGTCCCAGCTACTCAAGAGGCTGAAGCAGGAGGATCATTTGAACTCAGGAGTTCAAGGTTTTCACGAACTGTGGTCAGGCTACTGCACTCTAGCCTGGGCGACAGAGCGAGACCTTGTCGCTTAAAAAAATGACTGATTCATATCCTTGTAATCCTGAAGCTTGGCCCTACTCAGCTTTAAGGGATGTATTTGAACTGTGGCTTTTCCTTCCCTTGAAGGGTACTGTGTTGGCGCTCACTGAAAATAACTTCGATGACACTGTTGCAGAAGGAATAACCTTTGTCAAATTTTATGCTCCGTGGTAAGTGGCTGTTCAATTAGAAATTACTTTGTCTTAGTGTGCTAAGTTGTGTCATGTTTTCTAGCTCATTTGCCAACCCTCTAGACTCAGTGGTGGGCGCATACTACATTTACACACAGGTGACTCTGTAGGATATAAGAAAGTGTTATCATGCTGCTGTGTTCAGACATGTTAAAGTTCAGTCACCTCCACAATTCTGTATAGAGAATGAGGCTCATTTATTTTAAAGTTCAGTAAACATAAAAATGGAGGCCTTATGGTAAGTTTTGTGGTATCTGTGTAATTTTCTAAATAGATTGCTTTTTTGTGTAAATAAACAATGTACATTATGGTGTAACTTTTCTCCTCAATTTCTTTGAAATGACGTTCTAGAAAAATCCAGAAGAGTTCACCTTTCCATTAGAGCCATTCAGTATGTCACCACATTACTGAACCTTTTATACCCCATGGCCTCTTGGAGCCCAGAGCATAAGTGGATTGTAGATAGTTTGAGACCATAGCAACCTGATGGCGTGGGGAGAGGACAGGTTCCCAGACTTACCCTGAACTACTGTAACCTTGGGTGTCTGTGAACCTGTTTCCTCGAACGTACAATGTAACACTGTCTTCACAGATGAAACGATCCATTTGGAAAGGCAGAGTTCTTTAAGAAAATGTTAGATTCTTTCTCTAAATGTGACAGACATGTGGCTTTTGTTCTTCAGTTAAACTCCAAGTGTTTTGAGCAACTGTTAACAGTGGAGGTAAAAAGTGAATGAGCACGAGGCTCCCGGACTGTGAGGGGTTTAGTCTACAAAAGAGAAACCTTAGGAAATAAGGGCTTCTTAAAAGACTTAAAGTGATCAAATGTGAAGAAGGAGGATCCCCTTTCACTGAAGAGAAACCGTCCATCCAACAGGAGAGGAGCAGAAAAGAGAATAAAGTCCTACTAGACGGGAGGATTTGAACCAAACTTAGTCATGGCCTCATTGTTTAATTGCTGAAGCATCAGGGAAGCTTGAAGTTATTTTGAAATTCTGAGGCCATAAGCAATCAAATCTAAAATGTTTTTGGCACTCAGGGTTACTTTAGAAGCTGTGTGGAGTCTGTTCTGTTTCCCATCCATTCCTGTTCATGGTACATTCATCAGTCAGCTCAATGCACCGTATTGTAGAAATGGTCTCAAAAATCTAAACTTGTTTTCAGATTGGTTTGCTTCCATCAGGTTACCCAGAAGCAAGGGATTGATTTGGGAATTCCTTGTTTGGGAAGGGAGGAAGAGTTAATGGGCACCCAATGGGGAATTTGATGTTTTATTACTTTCTAGGCAATTGTTAACTGTCTCATACAGGGGAAATGGGCTTGTCCTGGTAGCAAAGTGTAGGTGAATGATCTCAATCCAACACTCCGTTGTTGTTCTGTTCCTAGGTGTGGCCACTGCAAGAATCTGGCCCCTACCTGGGAGGAGCTCTCTAGGAAGGAATTCCCTGGTTTGGCGGCGGTCAAGATCGCTGAAGTAGACTGCACGGCTGAGCGGAATATTTGCAGCAAGTACTCGGTGGGTGCACTTGGTTGAGAATAATTA